ACTAAAAGATTATGGAGACTAATTTGAAAACAACAACTACTACTACTACTACTACTACGCCTCAATCTTAAACAAGTTGGGGTCGGCTAATGAATCCTCATTGACCATGTTACTCAATATAAACTCATCTCAGACCAATGGAGACTAGTTTGAATGAGAATAAGAACTAAGTAAATTGAAGTGTATAGCACAGCACTAGAATAAATGCACTCACAGAGTTAAATGAAGCATACTGAAAAATCCGATCTTCATATAGCATATCATCGTCTTCCCTACCGATTATCATATCCCTCACGGATTTAACTAAACCCCTTCCAGGTATCAATTCACTAGGATCTTCCTGCATTTTATTATCTTCAGATTTTCCAATGGTGTCATTGGAATCTGAAACCCAAGATGAACCATTACCTAAATCAACTGTACTTCCATCCACAAGCCAATCTTCCCACCTCTTATTCTCCTCATTCTTTATATCTTCTTGTGCTTCCCTTAACTCCATTATCGCCTCGGCTCGTCTTTTCCAAGCTTCAAACTTTTCATTCTCTGATAACTCATCATCATCACTACCTAAGCCTTCAGATTCAAGTCCATCAAGCAAATCCTCATCCTTTAATCCCCACCAATTCCCATCATCTTCAAGAAAGAACTTTCTCCACCAGCTTTTCTTCGACTGCTTTTTCTTTGCATTTGGAGTAACCCCAAAAGATTTCCTCCTCCTCCAACTAACAGCAATTGAATTTTTATAAAGAAATACTGAGTTAAAAGAGCTAGTACTTTCCTTGAAAGATAATAAATTTTGACATAAGACCATTGAAGTGCTCATTAAGGACATGTATAATAGACCACATTTTTCAGACTCATAGAGCAATATAAAAGTATAAACTCAATTCAAGAATCTGCATATTACTTGTTCAAAAGACCATTCAAGCATTTAGTGACAAGCAACCACAATGTGCAAGGGACCATTGAAGAAATGTTAAAAATTCAGTAAGATAAATTTAACACAAAGGGCTAGAAAATAAAGAAAATGGAACCCCAAAAGAAAAAAAGTAAAGTGGCACTGCTAGTGTTTATCTGGTAATGAAGATAATTTGAAGGTGGAATAGTCAGTATTGGGGAAGTGATGGGGCAAGCGAGCCTAGCGGGAGAAAAATGGGGATAACGGATTTTGGTCTATTTCTAAGATAAACTTTGCTTTCTTTATCTATCTATATATATTCCAACTTTTTTGCAGCTCTACTTTATTCCCCACAAACAATTAGGCCGCTTCTGGCCTGATATTAGACCCCTTTACCCTTTCACCTGCAACCCGATACAAAACCGAAAAGTAAAACCAAATCAATTAAAAAATTTGANATATATATATATTTAAAGATTTTATATAAAATTTTCTTTAAAAATGTCTAGAAATATTTGATATTATGTTACGTAATATAATATTTAATAGAATATGAAGTGCTCCGTATTTATTAACATTAAATAATGAGTTATATGATCACTTTCTTATCAAGTGTTACTGAAATGCATCAATCTCTTTGTTCTTTCATATTCATATGTCAAGATCTATTAAATTTTTATATCTTTTTCGAATTTGAAGTGATTATTATTATTTAGGTATCGCATTGATGTTTATGTTTAATTACTAAACTCGATTAACCTTAAAAGTGTACATCAACAAAAAAATTATTATCAGACGACTAAAACGATAACTATTATGTGTTACTGAGTAAATTCTCCCATAAGAATATTTTAATAGATAATATGTTTGTCAATTTTTAAATTTTTTACTAAACATATATTTACTTATAAAAAATTTAACAAAGTAAGATCGAAATAATATTTAAATAATAAAAACCCGAAAAATCCGATAAAACCGACAAAACCGAACCAATCCAAACAGATATAATTGGTTTGGTTTGATTTTGATAAAAACCGAACCAACCCGGTCCATGTACACCCCTACTTTCACCCTACTATTCCATATTATTCCAATTTATCTCTCTTTTTTTACTTGTATTATACGATATTTTATTTCAATAATAATGTTTATTTCACACTACTTGAACTGTTCTTGAGCCAATGAAGATAGAGTATAGACTCTCTACATGCACAAGATAATGTAAGGACCGGTTACATTGGATATATTGTTACTGTTATACACAACTTTAACCGGTAAAAAGAATAAATTCATCTAATTAATCAAATACAAATTTTTATATGATATTCTCAATATGTAATATTCAACTATCAATGTCATATATTTTCTCCTAGTACTTAGGTAATAGACAAATTAAATCTCTTACTTAAATTCCATACATTTGCTAAATGACACCTACTATTATGAAAAAAGATGTCCGTCACGTCACATTTTAAGTTCTCAACACATTCAAGGAAAAGATTCATTTTTTTTATAATACAAGGGAGTTATTGCAATCCACAATAAATTAAGGAGGTAAAACGTAGATTCTAAAGTAAGAGATTGAAAAATAAAAAATGCGTATCGCCCCTTGAATTTTCAAAAAGTTTGGGACTACATTGACATTTATCCTTAAGTTACGAGGTTAATGAAGCAAAAACAGAAATTCAGTCCTACAAAAGAACTAAAAAAGCAAAAATGGAGCTAGTTCCGGTTCTGCTCTGTAGTCGGTAGGGTTTAAGGCGGAGATAACGAGGCGGAGGAAGGATGAAACCGGTGGTGGGAACAGTAGTGTCAAACAAAATGCAGAAATCAGTAGTGGTGGCTGTAGATAGACTCTTCCACAACAAGCTTTATAATCGCTATGTGAAGCGCACCTCTAAATTCATGGCTCATGACCAGAACGACGAATGCAACATCGGCGACCGCGTATGTAATTATACATTTTTTTATATTTCTCTAGGGAAAGTTTCTAGCTTGATTTGTTCTTAACTTTGAATAAGATGTTGAGTTATTTATTGAAATTTGTAAATTCAGGTAAAGTTAGATCATTCAAGACCATTGAGCAAGCGTAAGCACTGGGTTGTTTCTGTAATTTTGAGAAGAGCTAGAATTTATGTACCTCCACCAAAATCCAGCTCTGAGACTGATAGTAAGACGGGAGTGTCTGCCAATGCTAATTAGAGCAGAAAGTTTGGGCACAAATTTTAGGTATTTGCAGACCTTTTGCTTATCTTCTAAAGTTTGTGATGTTTACAGATTAAAGATATTCATTGTGGTGCAAGCATCTAAGTATTTCTTTTTGTGCTTCCGATTAGCATTTCTTCCCCGCATGTGGGATTACACTGGGTTTGTTGTTGTTGATTAGCATTTCTTCATTTTTAGCAAATTGTATTTTGAACACAAAATATCTATACTCATATAAATCATGTCATACACCTTTAGATTTGTCGTCAAATCAAATGAAGAATTGATGCAACCATAGGACCAGACTAAATACATTGTGAAAGTACCTTAGATTGGAACTTCCTGAGCATAAGAGGGAATTTTTCGTTTCCAAATAGCTTAATGCCCTGAAATTAAGCTAGATAATGGGAACTGCACACACTTTACCTGCCCCTGAGTGACAACATTGCACTGTATTCTGCAAGTTCTCAGATTCAAAATGTGGAGTGGAGTTGCAAGCAGCTATCTAATCAGCATTTTATCATGCTACCAATTTTCTGCCAGATTTTTTTGTTTCAGTTTTGTTTGCATAACTGATAGCTATGTTGCTNCCTCTGCCCTTTTTCACTAAAACACCAGGCTTTTGTCAGCGCCGGGTTCGAACACGGGAGGTGTGCCTAACCTACACATCACGCACTGCCACTTATCACTAGATCAAAGCCCTGGGGCTACTTGTTGGTAGTATTTTCAAGCTATGTTGCTCGGAAACTTTGAAAATTTCGCCGGGTACATGTCGGATCCTCCAAAAATAGTGTATTTTTGGAGGATCCGACACGAGTGCGGCAGCTGTTTTGGAGAGTCTGCGCAACATAGACTGATAGGTAATTTGTACTTTACTTGATCCTACTGTTGCCAATCAAAGCTAAATTCAGAATCTATCTGCTTTGGATTCAATAAATTGAACATCTAGATTTCATTGTCCAAACTCGGATATTTTTTCCGATATGATTTTGTTGTCAACATATAACCTCGGGATGCTTCAGCTAATACCAAAGCTGTTATCTTCTAAGTTGAATTATGTGTGAAGGATATTAGTGTATCATGAAGCCTAGGCATAATTTCTTCCCTGCAATCGGGCATATTTCTTATAACTTCCTTTTTACTGTACTGCACCCTCTGTGTTATCTTTCCCTACACTGTTCTCTTTGTTCCTTTTATCTCTCCAAGTCCTAACACTGCTTATCCAGAAAAGCCATGTAATTTTGGCGCGGTGGTGGGGAGGATTAAAAGGACTAGAAGACCGAGTTCTTTAAGTATTTTTGAGATTATTATTGACAAATGAGCCATATTGCAATGTCATCGAGTTATTTGAGGAGTATTTTTGAAATTATGATGTGCTATATTATTAACATATGAGCAAATGTGGCCATCTTCAAAATCATTATTTACGTGATTGCCTTGTTCATCAGGTAAGAGTTCGACTCAATTTTTCAGCTCTAACTTTGGAATGTAATCCAAAGAGCCGCACACGTTAGTGAAGGTGGATCTTTAGCTGTTCTTCTGCATATGGATTCAGGATGTCGATTGATGTACTGATTGTATTGCTGTACTGAAAGGATACAATTCTCTCGTGTAGCAATTCTCTGGAATAAAATCACCAGCTTGCTTATATTCTTTATGGGGAGAATTGGTTTTGTAATCCTACCCCCCACGCGCGCACACACAAAAAAAGGGGAAGGATCATTCTATAGCATTCAATAATTATATCACATCCTTAATCCCCTTGGACCAAGCTTGATTTTTGTGCAAAGGCAGAATTTTTTTAAGAGTTCTTTAACCAAAATTGGCCCTTATTTTTGAAGTGGTCTATTTTGTCCCTTTCATGTACTCTGGCACACATATAATCCTTATAAGTTTACTAAAATTGAGCACATATTGTCTGCTTAACATATGCATAAACAGAAACTTCAACAGCTCTTACATCCTGCAATACAAAGAAGAAGAAAACAGTAGAGAAGAATGATTTTTCTGGTTGGGACGTAGCTTTAAGAAAAGCTTTTCAGTTATTATTAATGATTTCCTACTCTTGGACTTTCCACCTTATTCTCTTCCATTACCCATCAAAGAAAAAGATAGACCTTAGTTTGTGTAGTTTTCAAATTAACTACAATTAATAACGGTTCTTTAAGATGCAGCATAAAAGAAAAGCTTGAGTTCAGAACGAGCTCGGACAATTATAGCTATGGCATGTAAATAAGGTTTGTCCGGGGGGAGGCTGATCTGATAAGGTTGGGTCCTAGGCTACTACCAATTATTGTTGTGTCCACACTATTCTTTCGTTTTTCATAGTATCGGGCTTTATTCACTGGTTTTTGTTATTGTTTTTCATCTATTTTCTGGTTCTTATGCTGTTGTTATTACTCATATGGTTCTGTTGATGGTACTAACATATTGTCTCTCTCTCTTGTCTCTCGTCTCTTTTTATTTTCTTGAGCCGAGGGTCGGGGTAAAGTCTGCCTACATTCTACCCTCCCCAGACTCCACTTGTGGGAACTCACTGGGTTGTTGTTGTTGTATGTAAATAATGTAAGAGCTTTATATATGTTAAATAAAGAAGTAAATTTCACATAACTAGTGACTTACAACGCAGTGATGTGATAAGCTGTATTTATACTACGGTGAGAACCAAACCAGTAATAAGCTACAAGGAGTAGTCCGATGCACAAGATATCCCGCGTTCACGTAGGTACATGAAAGGGCCGCACCCCAAAGGGTATATGATGTAGACAGCCTACCATGATACAAGCATTAGTGGTTGCTTCCACGGGTCGAACTTGTGAGCTACAGGTTACACAGAGACAACTTTATCGTTGCTCAGACAATGTAATTAATCAATTATGATGAATGAACATGGCTTCTTCTAACTATCCAGGTCCTCATGACCATAGGCGGTAGCGGAGGTCTCCTCCGAGCTGATTTTGGCTTGGCCTTGGCCTTCTATTGTATCATCTATTTTCCTCTTTAGCCACCTGACCCTCGTATCTATCCCTTCCTGCACTTCTCTTGTGGAACCAGTAGGGGAGGCATCTGAAGTGTTTTTGTCAAAACTCACTCTAGATTTGGTATAAGGAGAGCCATTTGACCTATAGTAAAATGGCTTCTTGCTCTCAGATTCTTCTTCAGAATCAAGTGCATTGCATGATGGGACGGAGCTGTTAAATTTTCAGCTTCGTTTTGTGTATTAAATGGACCATATGTGCTCAACTTTAACAAACTTAAAGGATTATATGCGATCAAGACTATATAATAAGGACAAAGACTTACCCAAACATAAGAAGAATTTTGATTAAAAACTCTATTTCTTAGTGCCCCTGGTCTTTCGAGTTGTTCAAGACTCACAAATCAAAATGTTAAGCAGCGAATCACATCATCCTTTTCTCATACTTTCTCATTGAACTCGAACAAACTCAACTCCTTGCATGGGACTGCAGGCATGAGCGTCTCTAAGGTGCATCAATCTTGAATCATGATTAGTTTTTGGAAACTGAAACTAATGTACCCACTAAACGTTCTAATCTAACAGTCACTCTTTACCTCTACACTTTGGATAGATGCAATTCTGAGATGTGTGCCATGGGCCTATTACTAGAATTTACCCATTTTTCAATATTCTTCCCTTGCAGTGAATGTCACGGTGCAAAGTCTACCTATCCAGCTCAGAGTTGTTGAGTGCTCAGAAGGATTACAATATCTATTCATCTATCTCAATTCTGCTGAACCCGTAGCTTTTTCTTAGCTTTCTTTCTTTCATTTCTCGCCTTACATCTTCCACTCCAGGCCAGTTTTCAGATTCAGCATATACCAAGCTTAATAAAGCAAAATTAGCAGCATTTCCGGGTTCAGAGTTGGTGAGTCTGTGAGCCAAATGTTCTGCAACTTCCAGTCTTCCATGTAATTTACAAGACGCAATCAGTGAACTCCAAATTCTGTTGCTAGGTTTCATAGGCATTCTGCTAATGACTTCACTAGCATCTTCTAGCTTACCTGCCCTTCCCAGGAGATCAATGTAGCAAGCATAGAGCTCCACAGTCATTGAGAAGCTCTTATCCTTTGACGCTTCATCAAAGAGCTTTTTTCCCTCCTCAAAAAGACCACAGTGATTACAAGCTGATAAAACTGTAAGTAATGCAATGGAATCAATCTTTATCCCACTCTCTTTCATCTCATGAAAAAGATCCAAGGCTTTATCTCCAAAACCATGAGTCCCATAAGCACTGACTAATGCACTCCATGATGCAGAATCTCTTATAGCCATCTCTTGGAAAACTTGAGCAGAGTCCATAAGAAAACCACATTTTGAGTACATATTTATGAAGGAGTTACCAATGAACAACCGTGAATTAAGACCACTTCTAAAAACATAGCCATGCATTCCTCGGCCATGAGATACTGATAACAGATTAGTACAAGCAGAGATTACCGCCAATAAAGTAACATCATTTGGTCGAATTCCACTCAGCTGCATCTCATTGAAAAGCTCTATAGCTTCTCGACATCTAGATTTATTTCGAGAATAGCTTGTTATGATAGCAGTCCACAATACCACATCTTTTTTAGTTGAACCGTTGAATATTTTCTTTATACCCCACAATGTTTCCCCACATTGAGAATACATGTGTACAATAGCAGATGAAAATTGAGAATCCGAGTCAAATCCATGGCGAAATGCATATCCATGAATCTCTTTTCCATACTTTACTGCACCCAACTCAGCACAAACTGGTAATATACTAGTCAATGTAACTCTATTTGGTTTAATATCTTCCACCTGCATTGTGCGAAATAATTCAAGTGCTTTGGCATACAACTCCTCAGCTATGCATCCAGATATCATTGCAGTCCATGATACCTCGTTTCTCACTTCCATTCTCTGAAAAACATGGTAAGCCGAATCAGGCTCACGACATTTCCAATGGAAGTCTACCAATGCAGTTAGAAAGAAAATTGAATTTTCTATTCTTTCATCAACTATTGTAAGAGCATGGATAGCTCTTCCTAGTTTCAAATTCTTGGTCTCAACACATGCAGATAAAATGCAAGCCATTAACTCAGGCTTTGGCGTAAAACCCTGTACATACATATCCTTAAACAACTCCAATGACTGAAATAAATACCCATTTTGATAATAGCAATTTATCATGGAATTGCAGGAGATGGTATCTCTCTTCGGCATTGTATCAAACAGTTGGTATGCAGATTTTGTATCAGAGAATTTTGCATACATTGATATAAGAGAATTGGATATTGTGGATTCTGAAGAATACCCATTTTTAAGTACATAGCAGTGAAGCTGACAGCCGAAGAATTGATGGGTTTTCAAATGAGCACAAGCCTTGATGATTGAAGGAAGAAGGAAGGTGGTATTTGCATGGGAGTTGGAAAAGCAGTGAACTTTTGCACTGTAAAGTTCAAGCGCTTGATCATATTGTCCCTTCAGAACCAATTGATTGATCGTGTTGTGAATATCTGAAAAGGATGATGATGATGCTAAAGTTGATAGTGACCTTCCGATTAGTTTTCCCATTTTACTATTTGTCCAAACTGATTACTTCTCTCGGCCATTTCCACTCCAGCTTCTCTGGGCAAGTTTCAGACCATCTTTAGCATGAGTTAATTGTCTACTTATCATATTTTACAGACAAGAACGGACAGGTTATGTACTGTACAGATGGCGAACATAACAGTTTAGTCTAACAGTTGTTTGGATGGTTGTTACTTGTTATATTATGTGGTATTGTTACTTTTAACTATAATATTTGTTTTGATTGTTACTTAAATTTTATTGTATCATATCGTTAAATTCGTTGTTATGTAACGACGAAAAGTGCCACTTTATGGAACAACCGATTTGGTGTGTTCGCGTTTGTAATGACCAAACCGGTCATTTTGACTTTTAGAACCCTGTTCCCTAAAATAAAACTTTCCGTATATGCTTTTAATGATTTATGACTTGCGGGGATGATTCGTTCGGGATTTGGAAGTGTTTGGGTTGAAATCGGAACACTTGGTTCCTTAAGTTGGCTTTAAAAGGGCAAATTTGACTTCGGTCAACATTTTGAGAAAACGGCCCCGGAATAGAATTTTGACGATTCCAACAGCTCTGTATGGTGATTTTAGACTTAGGAGCGTGTTCGGAATTTCATTTGGAAGTCCGTAGCTAAATTAGGCTTGAAATGACTAAAATAGGAATTTAAGTTTGGAAGTTTGACCGGGGAGTTGACCTTTTGAAATCGGGGTCGGAATCCAGTTCCGAGAATTTACATAACTCCGTTATGTCATTTGTGACTTGTGTGCAAAATTTGAGGTCAATCGGACTTGATTTGATAGGTTCAGGTACCAAATGTAGAAGTTGGAAATCTTAAGTTTCATTAAGCTTGAATTGGAGGATGATTCGTGATTTTAGCATTGTTTGATGTGATTTGAGGTTCCGACTAAGTTCGTATGATATTTTATGACTTGTTGGTATAATTGGTCGAGGTCCTGAAGGGCTCGGGTGAGTTTCGGACGGCTAACAGATCATTTTTGATTTTTGGAACATTGGTAATAGCTGCTGTAAATTTTCTTCTGATTTCCTTATACGCGATCGCGTGGATTGGGTTGCGATCGCATAGGCTTAATTGGGCAGCTGAGAATTTTTTCTATGCGATCGCGTGGGCAAGTCCGCGATCGTGTAGGTTGGATTCAGTTGTGCTATGCGAATGCGTGGCTAAGGCTGTGTTCGCGAAGAGGAAATGAAGCAGAAGCTCACCATGCGCTTAATGCTTCGCGATCGCGTGAGGAGGTTTGTGATCGCGTAGGCTTGTTGAGACTGTGTTTCGCGATCGCGTGGGATTTTTCCGCGATCGCGTAGAGTTATTTTCTGGGCAGAAAAATTTGTGCTACGCCATCGCGTGAGAAAGTTCGCGATCGCGTAGAAGAAATTACTGGGCAGAGAGTTTAAGTTCCCATTTTACATTTTTAACGATTTGGAGCTCGGATTTAGGCGATTTTTGGGAGATTTTCAGAGAAAACAACGGGGTAAGTGTTCTTAACTCAATATTGGTTAAATTACCCGAATCCATCACTATTTTTATCATTTAATTGGTGAATTGAGTTGGAAAAGTTTGAAAACCCTCTTAGATAGATTTGAGGATTTGAGGGCCGAATTGCTATCGGAATTTAGTGATTTTGGTATAGGTTAACTCGTGGTTGAGTGGGCATTCATATTTCGTAACTTTCGCTGGATTCCGAGACATAGACCCCACAGACGAATTTTTAATTAATTTCGAAATTTTTATTAAAAATGTAGTATTTTCTTATAGAATTGATTCCTAAAATTTTTAGTGATTATATCGAATTATTTTGGCTAGATTCGAGCTAGAGAGAGTTGGATAATCGTGGAAAAGGCCTTTAGAGGATTAAATTGGAGCAAGACGAGGTAAGTCTCTTGTCTAAACTTGTGAGGGGAAAATTATCCCATAGGTAATTAAAGTAATAATTGTTGCTAATTGTGGGGGCTATNAATCTCATATACTTGATTTTCTGTTTAAATTAATTAATTGTTAAGAGAAATTGTTCTTCCTCTCTAATTTATCTTATAATAAATATACTCTCCTTCCGCAGGTTCATATGAAAATGTCCTCCTTTTTTGTGGAGCGGGCCGAACGACTCGGCAGGATAGATGCATCTATGGATCGTGCCGCATGTCCCTCGGCAGTGTACACGAAACTCTAGATCGGGCTGTACGACCTCAGCAGAAATCGTGCTTAATAATAATAATAATAATTACACGATACTTGGACAATTTATTGCAGCTTGTAAAGCTATTTGATAAATCGAAAATTTATTGAAAGTGAAGGATTTAATTAATAGATTGGAAATTGTTGCATTTGAAGGATTTTTATTATTTCTGCTAATTGAATAAAATTATTGTTAACTCTGTGAATCATGCTGATTTGAATAATTATAATCTATTCCATTTATTATTGTTGATCCTTAGTGAGTGTCAAAGTCGGCCATCTCGTCTCTATCACTTCGAGATTAGGCTTGATACTTACTGGGTACACGTTATTTACCTACTCATACTATACTTGCTGCACTTTTTGTGCAGGACCTGAGGCAAGTACTAGTGGGGGACCTATCGTCTTACACCCACGTTATCCAGGGGCATAGTGGTGAGCTGCCTTTCTGAGCCGTTCTGCAGCTACCAGTGTCTCTCCTTGTATTTTTCATTCTGTCTATTTTTATTTCAGACAATATTTGAGGTTTTGTATAATCTACTAGATGCTCATACACTTGTGATACCAGGTCTTGGCACACACATTGGTAGAATTTGGTGTCTTATTATTTTTATTAGATTTAAAATTTATCGCTATATGTTTAATTTATTAGTTGGCTTGCCTAACTATAGTGTTAGGCGCCATCACGACCTATAGGTGAAATTGGGTCGTGACAGCGTCGTTACCTTATTTTTTTCTCTCATCTTGCTCTTCCTTATTATTAAATAATCCTATTTTATCCTTTACCCTACCTTTTTATATAATAATTCTATCTCGTACCTTACTTTTTGTTTATAATATTGCAAGTTTATTCTTCATATTTGTGCATAATATAATGAAACGACAGCAAACAATATAATCTATCCAAACATTGTATACAACAAAACGATATAGTACAATACAATACAATACAATACAATATAATACAATACATTATGAAACGATACATTACAATCATCCAAACAAGCTGTAAGGGTGTTCAAGAAAAATGAAAAATTGAACCAAACTGAAAATGAAAACATTTTAACCAACATGTTCTTTAATTTGTCGGAAAGCGCCTTCTAAACCACCTCATTCATCCAAAAGAGAAGGAAAGGGACCTATGTATTTGTACCAACCATGCAGATTTAACCCTATCTATACTCGATGTCACTCCCTTAGCGATCATGTCACCACGCTGCAGAATGGGAGCTCATGTAAAATCTTTTATTTTGGCATAACAACGGTAGAACGTAACAAAATTGCTCGAATTTTGTATCTTCTATAATGAAGTTATTAAGGAGTGATTTATGTATTATTTTAATTAGTCATATTAAGGTTAAAATACGCTTGAGATTTATAAATCGATGTAAGGTTATTTGATTTATCAGGGATAATAATTGTCACATCACTAAAAAAAATTCTCATATATATATATTTGCGGTTGGTCCATATCCATAGAGGAATTAACGGATCATGCAAACTTCGAAAGCATTCAACAAAAGAAATGACGTGATTCGTGCAAAGATTTTAACAGAATAAAATACACTGAATTAATAATACAAATATTTTTTATGCGGTCAGTATATATAAGTTAAACCCGATATGAAATGAGCTTCTAAAGAAGCAAACATTATGTTCCTCATGCAAAGAGCTTCTAAAGAAGACAAATCACTAGCGTATGGTACTACATTGCAGGGTAACAACTATTTCTATAAACAAATTAGATAGCTAAAAAAAAGAGGTGTAGAACGTCACAAAATTGTCCATAGCAAGAGAATCAGAGACAATAACATCCTTGTATAGACAAATTTTTGTTCTGCACCTCCATAGTATGGTTCGATCGTGATCCCAAACTTGCAACTAGGCGTAGATGGATCCGACTTTGTGATTGTCCCAAGCCCTGAGAACTTGCAGGCGTCATTGAGCTGATTGTTTATCTGATAGTAGCTGTTGAATGCATATGAAACGTCTCCTCGCGCATCCAGGCCTCCACACGATGTCCCATAACCAAGGCTTGTGCAATCAGCACGCGCACAAGCATAACTAACACTAGGCGCAATCTGGGGGTCATCAAGCTTAGCGTCAGGCTTGAGCACACACTATTTTCTTTCCAAATACTTCACATTACTAGCTGGAACTAAAGATCCAGAATTTGTGGTGCCAAGGTTTAGTGAGTATTTTGGTCGCCCATCATAGGTGAATATTCCCCAGTGACGTTCGAAATTCCCAGGTTGGATACTTTTTGCATCCTCATCAACTAAACTAAACAGATAGGCATCAACAGGCCCAGGCCTCATAGGGGTGCCTTTTCCTTCTGATATATGAGCCATGAACCCTTGGTTGAAACGCTGCGCTAATTGTAAGTTAGCATTGCGGTCCCCATCTGTGGGCCAACCAATTTCTCCGACTATAATAGGTAAGTTCCCGAACCCATTCTTCTTTAAAGCCCACACGAGAGTGTCATGATTTGCATCAAACATGTTGGTGTAGATTGTCCCGCCATCGTTTAGAGGTGTTGCATTTCCATCAAAGAATGCATATTCAACCGGAAAGTTGGAATCTGTATAGAGGCTTATGAATGGGTAGATATTGATAGTAAAAGGGCAACCATTATCGCTTAAGATCTTGACTATTTGGATCACAAAGTCATGGATGTCTGCTCTAAAATCACCACCTGATGGCAAGCTACTAGCACTCTCATAAACATCGGCATTGAGGGGGACGGTGCCTTCACTTGATCACCATGGCCAGCCTTTACGAGTGCAGTTTGGACATTTTGTAGAGC